AAAGAAAGGCTACAGACTTTTGTAGATTAATTTAGTAACCTCACACTTTACTGAAAGTGTTAATCATTTCTAGAAGATTTTTGGTGGAATTTTTTGCATCTCTTAGATATAATATCTTCCTCAAAAATGGATAATTAATCTCTTTTCCAATTATTACTCCTTTAATTTCCTTCCCATGTCTTATTGCTCTTGCAAGCGTTTCAAGCAGTAGTTGAAAAGGATTGGAGATACTGGAGAGCCTTGTCTAGTTCCTGATTTTAACAGGAATGCTTCCAGTTTTTCTCCATTTAGAATGATGTTGGCTGTGGGCTTGATATATATGGCTTTAATTATGTTGAGATAGGTTCCCTCCAGTCCAATTCCCTCTAGGACTTTGAACATAAATGCATATTGGATTTTGTCAATGGCCTTCTTTGCATCTATTGAGATGACCATGTGGTTCTTGTCTTTGTGTCCATTTATATGACTTATGATGTTTATTGACTTACATATGTTGAAACATCCCTGCATCCCTGGAATAAAGCCAACCTGATTATGGTGGATGATCTTTTTGATGTGTGTCTGTATGCAGTTTGCAAGCATTTTTTGAGAATTTTTGCATCTATGTTCATTAAGGATATGGGTCTATAGTTTTCTTTTTTGGTTGTATATTTACCTGGCTTTCATACTAGAGTGATGCTGGCTTCATAGAGGAAATTTGGAAGTTCTCCCTCCATTTATATCTTTTTGAATAAATTAAGTAGTATAGGATATAGATCTTCTTTAAATGTCTGATAGAATTCTACTGTAAATTCATCTCTTATTGGGCTTTTTTTAGTCAGGAGATTTTGTATTTTGTATTACTGTTACAATTTCCTTATGTGTCATGGGTCTCTTTAAGCTGTTGTTCCCTTCTTGGCTTAGTTTTGGTGGTTTCCATGCTTTTAGATATCCATCCATTTCTTTTTGGTTTTCAAATTTAGTAGCATATACTTTTTCAAAGTATTCCCTTATAATGTTCTGAACCTCTTTGGTGTCTGTTGTCATGTTTCCTCTTTCATTTCTGATTTTGTTGATTTGGGGTGGCTCTTTCTTTCTTTTGGTTAACTGGGCTAAGGGTCTGTCAGTCTTGTTTATCTTTTCAAAGAACCAGCTCTTGGATTCATTGATTCTCTGTATTGTTTTCTTTGTTTCTATTTCATTAATTTCTGTTTGATTTTTCTTATTTATTCTTGTCTGCAGGGTTGGGGTTTCATTTGTTGTTACTTTTTAAGTGTCTTGAGTTGCTATTTAAAGTCATTTATTTGCGTTCTTTCTGATTTTTTTAATGAAGGGACTTAGAGGTTTAAACTTCCCTCTAAGGACTACTTTCAACTTGTCCCAGTGGTATTGTCGTCTTTTATTGTCCTTTTCATTTAGTTCCAGTAATACTTTTATTTCTTTCTTAATTTCTCCTTTGACCCATTCATCATTCAGGAGTGTGTTGTTTAATCTCCATGTGTTCATGTAGTTACTAGGGTTTCTTCCAGTGTTGATTTTAAGCTTTATTTCATGGTGGTCTAAAGGAATGCATGGAATTATTTCAATCTTTTTATTTTTGTTGAGGCTTGTTTTGTGCCCCAGTATATGGTCTATTTTGGAGAAAGTTTCATGGGGCACTGAATGGAACGTATATTCTTTGGTGTTTTGGTGGAATTTTTGGTAGATGTCTGTTAGGCCCATTTGATGAATGGTATTGTTTAATTCAGATGTCTCTCTGTTAACTCCCTGTCCTGTTGACCTATCTAATGGTGGCAATGTGGTATTGACGTTCCCCACTATTAATGAGTTGGGATTAATCTGGGTCTTAAAGTCCTCTAGTACTCTTTTTATGAAGTTGGGTGCACCAGAGTTTGGTGAATCTATGTTCATGAGTGTAATATATTCTTGGTCAATTGTTCCTTTGATCAGAATGAAGTGGCCCTCTTTATCTCTTCTGATTATTTTTAGTTTGAAGTCTATTTTGTCAGATATTAGAATTGCAATGCCTGCTTTTTTCTTAGTACCATTTTCTTGATATGTGTGTGTGTGTGTGTGTGTGTGTGTGTGTGTGCGTTTCCATCCTTTCACCTTAAAGTGGTGCCTATCCTTGAAAGTGAGATGAATTTCTTGCAGAGAACAAAAAGATGGGCTTTGTTTCTTATTCCTTTCAACTAGTCTGTGTCTTTTGACTGAGGAGTTCAGTCCATTGATATTTAAAGTTATTAATGAACGATTTGTATTGATCCTGTCATTTTTCTGTTCACACTCGGGGTAGCTGTCCCTTTCCATAGTTATACCTTCATTAAGTTTCTTTCTGTAACCCCTTGGGGATAGATGTTCCTGTCTTCAACTTTTTGTTTTGCTTCAAGAACCCTCTGAAGGGCTGGTTTTGTGGACCTGAATTCTTTCAGCCTATTTATGTCATGGAAGAATTTTCCTTCCCTTTCGACTGTAATAGACATTTGGCTGGGTAAAGTAATCTGGGTTGGCATCTGTGGTCATTTAGAACTTGGAATAATTTGGTTCAGATTCTTCTGGCTTTCATAGTTTGCACTGAAAAGTCAGCTGTAATTCTGATGGGTTTTCCTTTATATGTGACTTGTTGTTTTTCTTTTGCAGCTTTCAGTATTGTCTTTCTTCTTTACATTTAGTGTTTTTACTATGATGTGCTGTGGAGAGTTTATTTTCTGTTCCTGTATATTTGGTGTTCTATATGATTCTTGTATTTGTATGGGCATGTCTTTCTTTAATTTTGGGAAATTTTCTTCTACAATCCTGTTGAAGGTCTGGTCCATACCATTATCCTGAGATTCTTCTCCTTCCTCTATGCCTATGATTTGCAAGTTTGGTCTTTTTATGGTGTCATAGAATTCCTGCATATTCTATTCTTGGGTTTTCTTAAATTTTTCATAATCTTTGCTTCGGTGGTCTAATTCATCCACTTTATCTTCCAGTCTTGATACTCTGTTTTCCATTTCATTCATCCTATTGGTGAGGCTTTCTCCTGTCATTTCTAATTGGCTTACTGTTTCACTTCCTTCTTCATTTCAGCCTGAGTAGTCTTCAATATTTCTAGCTCTTTTCTGATTTCATTCAGAAGTTTATCCCTATCCTCTTTCAGTTATTTGATTTCTTTGTTTTTGTGCTCCTTAAATTTACTGAATTCTTTTATCGATTTTATAATTGTTCTTTTGAATTCCATGTACTGTTTTATCTCTAGGGGGTTCTCATTGTACTCCTTTATAGGAGTGCTGGTACTTGGTGGGGGTGTGTTATTTGGGTTTTCATGTTATTATTTTTTTTTGCTGTTACTGTGACATGTGGATTTCTTTTGTAGTTTCTGATTCTTGTGTGAGACTCAAGCCTTCCTTTGTTGAGTTTAGGTCTGCTTCTTTTTGTAAACTTTATGTGCCTTTGTGTTTTACTTGTTGGGTATGAAGAGCTGGTTGGTTTAGGCTTCAAGTTCTCCTTTTTGATTTTATATTGGACTGGCCAAATTGCTTTCGTCTTGCTGCTCAGGAGTTCCCACAGAGGCCCAAGTCGGATGAGGATCAGATGCACTCAGGCTTTCTCCTAAAGTCTGGATCCCGTTCCCCACTACTTGCCCTTCTGGTGAATCCGGTAAGCCTATCTAGAGGTCTTTGTTTTAGGAGTGGAACTGGTAAAAGAAGAGTCAGGGGCTCCTCCCAAGCCCATAATACTCCTGAGGAACAGATCATCAAACGACCTTAAGAGTAAAAATAAATTGGTTTATCTCGACCAACTATTTCTTAAGAGTCTATATGCATAGCTAAAGGCTACATAACAAGCAACAATGGCAGACAGGTGATACCTTCTTTTGAGTTGTTGGCCAAGGTGGCCAATGGGATTCTCAGATAGTAACCCAGCATAGAACTGGGAAAATGAACAGCAGTTTCTCTCTTTTGATTTTATTTTGGAGGGGCCAAATGGCTTTCCTCTTGCTGCTCAGGAGTTCCCACAGAAGCTCAAGTTGAATAAGGATCAGATGCTCTCAGGCTTTCTCCTATGGTCTGAATCCATCCAGGAAGGATGCTGGCCTCAGGAATTTGGGGGCTGGGTTGGCCTGAGACCAGGGCTGAGGAAAGATGCTGTCCCCAGGAAGCTGGTGGCTATTCTGCCTAGGGATACAATGGGAGGTGGGTATGGAAAAATGCCCTTAGGACTCTAGGGGACTACAGGGAGGAATTGGAATGGTCTTGGGGAGCTGGGAGGGTGAATGAGGCTTGGGGAGTCAAGGCTCAGTTGTTGCCTCTGAATTTACCCAGGAAACATGCTGGCCCCAGGCAACACACATCACTTTTTACTGGAAGGCACTGTGGCTCTAAAATGATGTATGTAGAAAATGTAGAAAGCCATCTCAGCCTCAAAGCCCACTTCAGGGGACTTGTGTACACATTATCATCTGTTAGCTCTCTCTATCCTGGAGATGACTTCATCTACAAATGGATGGCTGAAACATATTTCTACTTGGGAGAATTGAAAACATTTAGACACAAGAGAGTGATATAGGGACAAAATAAACAAGCAGAAATTTTTTTCTGTATTCCAGCACTGCATGAACCCATGTGGCTCTTCACAGTGTCTCAGAAGTTTCTTCTACCCTGAAGTCTTCAGGCAAACCCTATGTCCTGTGATCTTAGAGCCCCATTACCTCTGTCTTTCTTAGTACTCAGCAGGAGTTTTAATTTTCCATTTATCTGTGTGAGTATTTCATCCATAAGTGTCTTTCTTTGTAGATCCTCACCGGACTGTAGGCTTCGTAAAGATAGATTCTGTTATTGCTGTCTAACACTATTATTAACGTGCAATTAGTGTCCAATAAGTCATTTTTTAATGAACAAATTGGTGTTTTAAGATAGTGTGGCATGTTGTTTTAAACAAGGTATTTCAATTTAGCTGGATATTTATTTCTTATTGATTAGCTATTAAAGAACATCAATAATAACTTCTGATATTCTTCTCTCTCTCTTCTTTTACAGTTACCTTTGACCACTTTGAAATTTTACGAGCCATTGGGAAAGGCAGTTTTGGAAAGGTGAGAACTGAATTGACTAACTACCTGCTGTTACATAAGTCACGGACAGAGGGTCCCGGAATGGTGTGATTGTTGTGGCACTGGGATCATAAAGGAAGATAATTCAGAAAAGTTTTTTGAGGACAGTATGTAAAAAGTCAGTGACATGATGAACCATGTGTTATTCTCAGAGTTTTCGCTCTACCCCAGAGGAGATTAAGATTTCAGGTTCATGTGCAAATACACCAAGCTCTTTTTTTGATAAGTTATACTATTAATGTGAGACTTAATTCTTTCATGAGGAAAGGAAGCCACTTAATTTCAATTTCCCACAATTATACCATGTTTTCATTTCTAGAACTTTACTATGAAAAATATACACAGAGTTACGGTAAGAACCTCAAACTCTGACCATTAGTTTCTCTGTGGAGACGTATTTTAAGATAGAATAATGATATTTCATATTAAACTTGTATTCTATCTTGACAAATATTATATAGGCCCCTGAAACAATTTCAGAACATCAGTATTGCAGTAGGTGTTTCCCAGTGCTTAGAGTCCTTTTCATTACATCACCTATGGCTGGAAACACAAATTCTGCTCAGTGTTGTTCATTTTAACGTTTTAGTAACTTCCATTTCAGTCATTTAAAGGGGAGTCAGGGATGCTCTTTCTTATTGGAAGATTCCTGACATGGAAGCAGATTTGAAAGGTGTCTGAAAAACCCCAGAAGCAAAAGCAAGCAAACTAATTTGAGAAAGTAGAGATTCAATTGATGATCTACTACATGAGGGAAGAAAATGAAATCTTTACTCAGAAGGAAGTAGGCACTTTAACATCATAGTATTTGTGAATGATGAGGCCTCTAAGCCATGCTAAAGGACAAGTCCTGCTTTGTCCCTGGCTGACACACTCTGCCATCTCCCTAATCACTTGTTGACTTTGGTTTGCACCGTTAGGTCTGCATCGTGCAGAAGAATGATACCAAGAAGATGTATGCCATGAAGTACATGAATAAACAGAAGTGTGTGGAGCGTAATGAAGTGAGGAATGTCTTTAAGGAGCTCCAGATCATGCAGGGCCTGGAGCATCCTTTCCTGGTGAATCTGTGGTAAGTGATTCTGTTGGACCTCTGAATGGACACTCCTGTGTCCCTTGTTGACACGACACAGTTACATCAACATCTCCTGATTACTTGGCATGCTTTGATAAATTCTCACTAGGGTTTTCCTTAATGGTTTTACATGACTTTGGCTTTATAATGAGAAAGAAGTTTTGTTTTATTGCTGTGCTGGGATCAAACTCTGGACTTCTCACAGGCTACTCAAGTATGTCATCTGAAGTTTTTATCTTTTTTTTTGTGTGTGTGTATGTGTGTATTGTACATATGTGTGTACATGTTTGTTCAATTGCATGTGTGAGTGAGTGTGGATGCAGCTGTGAAGGTCAACCTTGGATATTCGTCCTCACCTTCTACCTTGTTTGGACAGGGTATTTTACAGGTCACTGCTGTGTACACCAGGATAGCTGGCCTTCTAGGGGTTCTCCTCTCTCAGCCTTCTATCCCCCACAGGTGTGCTGGTATTAGGTTCTGGGAATACAGACTCTGGTACTAATGCTTGCATAGGAAATGCTTTATCCATTAAGCCATCTCCTCAGGCAAATATTCTCCTTCATTTTAAGGTCAGTATTTGTTAAAGCATTTTTTTTTTTTTTTGTCTTTTTGAGACAGGTTCTTCTTGTAGCCCCAGTTGGCCTGGAACTCAGCATGTAGACCAGGCTGGTCTTGAACTCACAGAGATCTATCTGCCTCTGCCTCCCCAGTACTGCTATTAAATGAACCAATAAGGAATGTATTTAAATGTCCTACCACTAATTAGATAGAGTTTTCTGATAAGCTGTGGGGCATGGACTTTGGGCATCAAGCATGGTCTTACTAGTGGACATGAAGGTTATCTTTGTAACTTGTAGGAAACACCTTCTTCTTAAAATGTTTGGAAATGAAACTGGTTTCTTTGAGGCATATTTGTAAGTAGCCACATATATCTGTGACTTGGAAAAGTTAGTATTGCCTTTCTCATCCATCAGGTTTAAATAACTCATGTGTCAAGGAGTAGACATTAACTGTGATTTGTTCTCAAAGCCATTTCCATAATCCAGGGCTTCGATGATGTGGAGAAGTTTGTACTGTTTATCATCTCCAACATTTTGCTTGTGCATTAGGTTTTTTGTTTCTCTCTCATTTTGCTCTATATTTTAAGGCATCCATTATGTTAAGAGCCAGTTCTTAAAGTTAATTCAGTATGACTGTTATTTAAATATGCATACCAAGAAGTTCTCACTTGCCAGCAAGAACAAAAAATAAATAAATAAAAGTCTTTATTCAAAGAGCGCTAATGGAAAAATAATTGTGATTGCCTTGTGTGTGTGACAACACTCTTCTGGAGGAATCCGTGCATAAAGCCTGCCTCTGTCCATCTTCAATTAATAGAGTTCATGCAATAGACAATTTGATGAATGCTTCCATGCCTCAGTTGAAAAGAAGATGATTCTGTGTGGCTTAGAAATAGATCTATTATAGTTTCTGTACTGCTCAGGCCTGAGACGAGTCTAATTTTGGCTCAGCTTCAGTGTACTTATTAATCAGTATTTTAGAGTGGTCTTTTCAAAATGCTGCAATGTAAGGTGCTAAAATGTAGGCAGCAGCCTTTTTACTTGCTTAGCGATCATGAGATTCTCTCTTTTCTTTTCTTTCCCCATACTGAGAATGACACGCTGCTGTCACTTCATCCACTCCCTTTGTTCAAAGTCATGTGTTCCTCCTTTAAAGTTCAGCCAACTAGTTTTTATTTGTTAGAGCCAAGAACTTTTTATAAGAACACGCATAACATTTTCCCCTTTCGTGGTTTGCCTCTCCTTGCTATATGGGCTCAGGCAATAAAACATAAATGCAGAGATGTATGAAGCAGGAAATGTTAAGAAATTCTGTCATTGGTAAAGTTGCTGTCAATCCAGATCACACTGGGTTCACTCGCCCCGCTAGCCTGACAATAGTGTGACATATAAGCTGGGTCTCTTGTTCTTTCCTTGTTCTCACCTCTCAGTGGTGGAGCCTGTGGTGGAATACTGGGCACACTACACTGATGGTGGAGAAGGGAGACGAAATCCCCCCACCACACACTGGGCAGACAAAACCTGGAAAGAGCATTCCCATAAGTATAGCAGAAACCATTTTTTGAAAAGTTACTTTTTATTCTTTAGCAGTGTTATACATGTATACAGTGAATTTTCATTATTTTTACCCTCCATTACTCACTCTCATTCTTCCTCTGAATGAGACCCTTCTAACCAATAAGTTCCCCTCCCTCCTACATTCATGTTATGAGAGAGAGAGAGAGCCAGAGAGCCAGAGAAAGACCCATTGAGTTTAAATAGGATAGCTTGTATGAGCATGAGTGGGAGGCTGCTTACTGGGACATAGGCAAATTATCAGTGCTGTGTCACTAAGGAAAGTGATACTTCTTCTCCAAGCCACCATTACCTATCTATAGTTACTCATGGAGAGGTGGGACCTCATGATGAAATGTTGATAGCTCCAATGTTATGCAGGTCTTGTACAAGTAAACACAGCAGTAGTGAGTTCGTAAGTGCAACAGCTATGTCATGTCCAGAAGATATCTTATTATAACATAACTCCCCCTCCTGTAGCTCTTCCATTCTTTGTACCCCCTCTTCCATGATGTCCTCTTAGTCTTGGAGAGGGTAATACACATATCTCACTTAGGGTGAGCACTCTACAGTCCCATATTCTTGGTACTGGTCAGTTATGAGTGTCTCCTTTAACCACTGTCCACTGGTATAAGATACTGCTCTCAAGAAGCCTGAGAGCAGCACTCCACTATGGCTATAAACATGAGAATTTAGAAGGCAGTCGGAGGGCATGTTCATTTAGCAAAACAACAGTAGTGGATTGCCCTAGGGCCTATGATCTCACTAGTCACCTGCTGTCGACCAGGTTTATAGCACCAGGCACAAGTTCCCTCCTGGAAAACTAGCCTTGAAGTCAATTAGAAAGCTGCTGGCTACCCTCATCACATTCATCCTGATATTACTCCAATGGGCCTATGTTGCCAGACTGGTTGGTACCATAGCTCACAGAGTTCACAGCTGGATAAAACTGTTGATGCCTTTTCTTCCCCCAGCAGCCTGCATACCACCTCCCAGCACTATGAATGTTAGCCAGCAGAGAGGAAATTTCCAGCTCAGTTCCAGCTTGATTTCTCCATGTCCTGTGACCAAAGTATGTGGTTTCTTCAGCAATAAGGTCTTATTATCAAGTTCTGGTGTGTAACCAAGAGCAATGGCAGTAGCCTCTATTGAAATGGGGAGAAAGAGGGTCCCCCTAAAGGGTTCTTATTCTCATTTATAAAAGAATTTAAGAATGGACCCAAATGGAAACTTTTACAATTTTATTAGAATTTTAAGAAAAATCCTCAGGGCAGGTGAGCTGGTAATCTTGGCAGCTGCCTTGAGGAGGAGAACCGTGGGGAGAAGGAAAGAAAGTCATGAAGCCATGCAGATTTACAGTCTGCATGGAGGTCAGACACTTGGCTGACTGGCAGCCATACGGCTGGGAGAAGGAAGCTTTAGAGAAAAACTAAAGAAATACAAGATGCTAGGGGAAACCCAAGCCTTAAAGAAAGCATGTTTAGAAAAGGGATGTGAAAAAGAAATGAAGAAATTATGCTTTTGTGAAGAATTCAGAATACACTTATACATTAATACATTAATGCACTAGGTATTCTGCCCATCCATTTAGTATAACTTAAGGTGAACCTGCCTTCCTTGGGGTGGTCTTATGATCAGATGATTGACCAGTGAAACTGGAAAAGTGAGATTTCAAAGAGATAGACTGGAGATTTTATAGACTTGACCAGTTAAACTTATAAGGCTTTTTGCTACTCTCACACCATTGCTTTGGAAACCCATGGAGCTTGATCAACAGGCTCTGATCAACAACACATAAGGATATATCCCACACTTGGCACTGAGAGGTTGTTTAATAACTTATGGCTTCTGGGAGGAGCATTATCCCTCTATGTAGGGTCCCTCCATGTAAAATCTTTTATAAATTGTATATTTTTGGGGGGGTCTTTTTTGAGACAGGGTCTCCCTGTAGCCCCAGATCTCCTGGAACTCATTATGTAGACCAGGCTGGTCTTGAACTCATAGAGATCCTCCTGCCTCTGCCTCCCGAGTGCTGGGATTAAAGGCGTGCACTAGCATGCCTGAATAAATTGTATTTTTAATAAGCTTGCAAAATAGGTTTCCATACGGCATTTTCATACATCCTTAGCCTTAGTTATTCCCACCTCCACCCCATCTTACCCTCACAACTTCTTCTGACTTAAACCTCTCCACTCCCAATGATCCTACTACCATTTTCATATTACCCATGTCTTACTACAACCCTTTCCATAAGACCTTTCTCCCCTTTCTCAATGACCCCATAGCAAAATCAATTTTATCTTTTCAATTCATAAAAAAATCCTCACAGAGTATATTCATTCATTCTAATGTCCCTGTTTGTCCTCATAAAAGAGTTGTTTTACATGAATCTTTTCATAAGACAAAAGCACATTGGTGTGCTTCTGACATCTTAATAATTGTGATCTATTGATCGTGTTTAAGTCACATTGTTAGAGGATATGATTAAAAATGAATATATATATATATATATATATATATAAACTTGGTTTGTTTAATGGATGAAATGAGATACCAAGCTTACAGCATCTTATAACTATTTGTTAACATTTTTCGTACTTGCTCTATGGAAGTATAATATTCTAAACATACCCATCATGAATGGGCCAGTGTGGACCCCAAGAGACCAGTTTGATGCATGCTAGATCCCAAAGCATCATGTGAATAAGGAGTGTCTTCAATTCTGTCTTTACTGGATTTGGTTTTTATTTTCTATCTTCATTTTGCAAATCAAATAAAAGGTGATTAAGCATTCTTCAAAATACTCTGCTTAGTTCAGATTTTTATTCTGGGTTAGCTATTAGATTTACTTTGACATCTCCAAAGCCTTGAGAGCTGATTTTC